GGTAAAATTCTTAGGGGAAAATAAATTGGACTTACTCAAAATTAAGAACTCTTCTGCCTCTAAGGAAATTATAAAGTGTGAAAAGACAACCCAAAAAAATGGTAGGAAATATTTCCCAGTCATCTATCTGATAAGTAATATCCAGAATAATTTTTTCTAGAAACTTCCTACAGCTAAACAGTAGATAACCCAATTAAAAAGGATAAAGCATGTAAAGAGAAAATATATAAAGGCCAATAATGAAAATCAAAACCATAGTGAGTCACACCGATTAGTATGGCTACTGTCAAAAAAATAAGGTAATAGACCTTAACAAGGTTGCAAAGAAATTGAGCCCTTGTGCATGTGCACTGTTTGTAGAAATGTAAAATGATGTAACCACTATGCGAAATAGTATGGATGCTTTCTGAAGACATTAAAAGTTTTCCAGCTATTTTATTTCTGGGTATATATCTCAAAGAATTGGAAGCAAGATGTCAGTGAGATATTTGTATATCCATATTTAAAGCAGAATTATTTACAGAAGGTTCAAACAGCCCAAATGGCCTACAGGTAAAATGAATAAACAAAACATTGTATTAAGAATTAAGATTTATTCAACCCCTGTTCTGTAAGCTAGGAAGTTCAAGATTGGCATCTGAATCCGGTGAAGGCCTTGCTGTTGGGGACTCTGCAGTCTCCTGATAGACTAGGACATGTGTTGAGTGAGGCATACCATCCTAGTCTAGATCTGTCCTCTTAAAAAGCCACCATGCCATTCGATTATGGCCAGCCCTGCCCTTGTGGCTTCATGTAACTTATTTTCCAATGGTTCTAACCTTCAAACACCGTAGTTGGATTAAGTTTTCAGTATCTTAACACCTCACAATGGAGATTAAACTTGAACACAAGTTTCAGTGGGGACATTCAAACCACAGCAGTGAGATACCAAGAAGAGCTAAATGTACTGAGACAAAAGTAGGACAGGGCTTAGAAGGGGTTGAGCAGATAGAGGAGTAAGGAGGTACTGTTCGATGGGCACAGTGTCACTTGAGATGACAGAAAGTTCCAGAAATGGATGGTTGCACTACATTGCAAATGTACTCAGTTACTGAATTATACACTTAAAAATGATTGAGCTTTAGGTTATTTATATTTTATCAAATGTGTAAGGGATTGGGTTTCTTTTAAAAAATTAGAACCACTGGCATTGCCAGGACCTCATAGTTATGAAGATAGTATATGATATGTAAATTGTCATTTCTGTTCCTACCAGCCTTGTAGGAATTAGTCAAGAATAAACAGGCATGAATGTTGCTCGAGAGAAAAAGTGATTTGCATTTAACTAAGAAGGTCATATCTCAGCAGCCAATTCTGAGCAATGCTTAGATGAAATCTATCCGTTATAAACTTTGTTTCATTTTTTTAATCTCCTTGGGATCCTGTGAAAATTTTAGGTATAGCTGTTTAAAATATTTTTGAACCCTCCCATTTATGTAGATAGATTATTAAGGATTAATAATTTACTTCTTAGTATTTAGTGTTTTTATGTAATATGTATATTATATATATATATATATGATGATATAGTATTTTTTTTTTTTTTGGTACCAGGGATCGAACTTGGGTCCTTGTGCTTGCGCAGCAGGCAGCGAAACCACTGAGCTAAATCCCCGGCCTAGTATTTTTCTATTTAGTTTAATTTTCCTGTCCTGGGATATGGGTGCTGTTCACTGACATTGATTATTGACACACATGTTTATAAATTCAGGCGTTTAAGCAGCTGTTTGCAAGCATTTTAGTGGAGAAATTCTCTTCAGTCTTGCTCATGAGAGTAGAGGCTTCCTGCCTCAGTAATCCTCTGATGAAGGTGTTCTAATTTAATGATTTAAAGCTGTGCTGGACAGTTGTCACATATGGCTGTTTATATTCATTCAAATTAAAAATTCAGTGGCTTGGTCATACCAGCTACCTTTTAAGTGCTCAGTGGCCACCTGACAAGTCATTCTTATTGGATAGGATACTTTAGGCAAAGGACATTTCCATCATTGCAGAAAGTTCCACTGGACACTACTGCTTAGATCATAGATTTGAGTCAATATCTGTGTTCAAATTCTTCTATTTACAATTGGTATCATCTTAAGTCACTTCTCTTAAGTTGTCTAGTCTGACAAATGTAGAAAATATTAGTATCATTGGTTTGTTAAACCTATTACATTAATTAGGATAAAGTATGTAAGAATAACGTCTAGCACATTACTGAAACTCCTATTATACTTTCTTAGAACTCCAGATTCAGAAAAGTACAGCATAAAACAACACCAATTTACAAGGTACTACATTGTATCAAATTGAAATTTTATCCTGTGCCTACTGTGTGAAACACCTTAATGGTTTGTATGACTTACTTAAAAATACTTTGTTTTTCTATAGCGAGTTGAAGAATTTCTCAGCAAAGATATCAGTTATCTTATTTCAAATAAAAAGGAAGCAAAATTTGCGCAGACACAGAGTCGAATTTCTCCTGTCCCAAGTCCAGAATCCGCATATACTGCAGAAACCACTTCGCCTCATCCCAGTCATGATGGGAGTTCATTTAAGACTCCTGACACAGTAAGTCTTTTCAGTATACTTCAAGACTCTGGGAAATGCTGTGGCCTGAGGATCTCATAATTTTTAATAACTGGCTGGTAGCAGAATTCACTTGTAGAGCAGTTATAGAATACATGTAGAGTAGTTATGATCACATATCTGTGACTTTCTAATTAACAAGGCTGCTGTCTTAGAAAGTTAATTTTTTTTATTAGTTCACTGTAGTCATACCCTGGTTCCTAAAGTATAACCTTGCACATAGGAATGGCTTTTATTTTTCAGAATAATTTACAACTAAAGAATTCATAGCAGATCATTCTTTTAAAGAAGAAATGAAATCTTTTTTAAACTTCAGAGCAGGAATAAGCAAAATGGCCACATCTACCCTGCTCTGTTTTTTGTATGTCCTGTACACTAAGCATAGTTTTTCCATTTTCAAATGGTGAGAAAAAATCAAAAATATTTTGAAACAAGCCAAAATGATATGAAATTCAATTTCATTGTCCGTTAAATGTACTTGGAATATACTCAGGCCTGTTTGTGTAGATATTAGTTACGGTTACTCTTGTGTTTCAGGCAGAAGTTGGTAGTTGGTAGTAATTAGATGGCCTACTTGAGCCTAAAGTGAGTACTCTCTGGCTCTTAGCATAGAAAGATTACCAACCCCCGTTAATAGAATTTCCAGCATCACCTCTCTTATTATCAATCTATTGCCAGTGAAGTGGAAGATAGAAAGGACAAATTAAATATTTAATTAATTGTGGCGAGGGGAAGAGATAATGTTTAATTTGCTAATTTTTAGATTTTAGTGTAATAAGTTGCCATTTTAAAAATATCCTTTTCAATTGATTTGAGAATTGGGGGAAAGAAGCACAATAATGAGGTGCAAGGAAATCATTTGAGAAAAGAGACATAGAAGAAAAAGTAAAGGAAGACATGATCAAAGGAGGCATGTATTCTTATAGTTAATGGTTTTTTTAGAGCAGGGGTATGATAACAGTGGTGATTAGTTCTGAGTTAAATTTTGCTCGTAGCATCTCAGCTACTTTTTATAATATTTTAAAGGTGAAATAGCCTGTAAAAATAGTGTATATAAAGTTTTTTTCTTAGTCTTTAATAAGAAACTAAACTGTCTAATGGTAGATATAAAATTCCAGTGGAACCTATTTTTCATGTTGAATAGAATTTACTTCAAGAACTGACCTCTTGAATTAGTTTTGTTTTAACATGTACCTGTTTTAACTGACGTTTCCTCCAATGAAATACTATTTTATAACTTTTGTGTTTGCTTTTTTTTAATAGATGTGTTTAAGCAGAGGAAAATTATTAGTTGAAAAAGCTATCAAGGATCATGTGAGTAGGAACTTTAAAAATCACACTGTATATTTTCTTATTAAAAAATTGAAGAGGCCGGGGATTTAGCTCAGTGGTTCTGGCGCCTGCCGTGCAAGCACAAGGTCCTGAGTTTGATCCCCAGTACCAAAAGAAAAAAATTGGAAGTCACATTCTTTTATTTATTTATTTAGGTACCGGGGAGCACTTGCATGGCAGGTGATGAAACCACTGAGCTAAATTCCCGGCCCTGGAAGTTATATTCTTAATCTTCCATTCACTCAAGCCTAAACTGCACATGTATCTCATTTTTGCAAAAAACAGAATCTGCTTTTCATGGAGAAACATATCCATCTTGTGGCCTTCTAAAATATTACTGGAAACTTTTGAAATTGGCCTTACGGTATGCATTATAGAATGTGGGAATATATTAAATGGGATTTTTAGAAATCCCAAACGAAGAAACAATGTGCTCTTTGCTATTTTAATTTATAGGGCCTGTTATGAATCACCTCAGAGGCATTATGCTTTAAATTTTAGGGGTGGGGGATGCCTCATTTTAGGTAATAATTTTCCTAGCTAAAACCTTTTTTTTTTTTAAACAGGATCTTATTCCTTCAAATAGTATATTATCAAATGCCTTATCATGGGGAGTAAAGATTATTCATATTGATGGTAAGATTTTATTATCTTTCAACAATATTTGTTACAAGTACCCATGTCTGTCCATTGGCTTCTGATTTTCCATAGTGAAAATTTTAGTAATAAGGGACACTTGCGACGGTAACTCTACTTCACCTACATTTATTACAACTCTGTTAAACTCCACAAATAAAATTGCTAATCTTAAGCCCTTTTTTTAATAAAGATATTAGATGCTACATTGAACAAAAGAAAAAAGAGCTGTACTTAATCAAGAAATCAAGTACTTCTGTAAGAGATGGGGTATGTTGTCTTCTTTAATTTTCAAACTGATTTTTAAAAACAATTGTTTGCTTTTTTATTTATGAATCCATAAAATGTCCTACCTAGTGGAAAATATCATTGCCTCTTAGAATATCCCAGGGATAGGTTTCTAGAATCTATGCATGTTTCTGAATTTTGTGTATACTTTTCTTTGAAGTGCTAGTACAGATTCAAACCTTCTTCATCCTTTAAAACAAAAATAATAAAATTCCCACATCTCTACTTATCTACTGTTTAATCTTTATAATCCTTATCTATACTACTTAAATCTCTTTTTATATTTCTCAGTTTTTGACTTAAAAGATATGAAACTCCTGACCAGTTTGCCAAATCCATTTGATAATGATCACATTCATTCTTCCAGCTGTTGTCCATTCATTCCTTGAACTTCTCTTCTGGAATTTCTCTTGTCTCTTAACTTTCTCTTGGCTCTCTTTCCCAGAGCACTCTTTTGTGGTATGCTTTTCATTCATTCCTGTATACAAAGAAATAAAGACATAAATAGTTTGTCTGTATTGGTAATTTTTGAGTGGGAGAATGACACTTTCTGTAACTATAGTACAGTTTTTCTACTGAGATCTTATGTTCATTTTAAGTGTTTACTTTCACTTTTAAAGTCTTTCTCGGATAGTTCCGATTGATTTATTTTTTCTTGTTTCTTTACATGTCAGAAGTTTGGGCAATATATGGGACATTGAAAATGTTATGTTGTATAGGCTTTTGATGGAGAATGCTGGTTTATCTGCACTGTTTTAGCAGGCACTCATCCCAGTTTTGTTCAGACTGTTAGTTCTGTCTTTATTGTGTTGTAGTTCAAATCCATCTCAGTTTTCAAAGATGTATGTAGCTTTTGGTGTATCCTGCTCACCCACCCCATCTAGGTTAAGATTTGGGGAAGGGGCCGGGGATTTAGCTCAGTGGTTCCGGCGCCTGCTGCGCAAGTGCAAGGTCCGAAGTTCGATCCCTGGTACCAAAAAAAACCAAAAAACAAATAAGATTTGGGCTGTGAGGACTGGGCGTAATGGTGCATGCTTGTAATCCCAGCACTTGGGAGACTGAGGCATGAGGATTGCCTAGGTTACACAGTGTCTTCAAGACCAGCCTGAGCTATGCAGCAAGACCCTGTCTCAAAAACACCATAAAAAGATTTGGGCAGTGGTTTGAATCTTAGTTGTATTCAGAAGCTTTTGCTATGCTACTTTAGGTCTGTCCTTAGCATTGCAACTGGAAGCCCAGCACTTGGGTGGATTTATTTAAATAGGGCTTTAGGGATCTCCATCTCCAGCTTGGTCCTCTCTTACATTTCCTCTTCACGCCACAAAAGCCTTTTCCCAGTTCTTCCTGAATGAGATTTCTCAGTTTTAGGTCCCCATACTACTTCAGAACTACAACTTTGTAACTGGGACCTAACCTTAGGGCAGAGCTGTGGAAGAAAGAAGAAAAACACAGACTCCATTGGTAATTCTTTGACCACTGGGACTTTCTTTGTTCTTCTAGCCACAAAGATGAGATGCATATGGAGTTTTAGCTGCTGGCTTTAGGCAGTTGCTCATTGAATGTTGTCCATAATTTTTGGCTGTAATCAGTAATATTGATTCTCCTATAGTATATGCTTCACATTGGTTGAATTGATGGACTCTAGCAAATTGTTTACTAATTCCTTTGTTCAGTTTTAACACAAAAGTTTTTAGATTATTTCATAGACTGTAACTTTTCCATATTGGTTGATTTCTAAGAAAGCTAAAATAGTTATAGAAACTGCAAGGTATTTGTAGCTTTATTGTAAAACTGAGCTTGTATTACTAAATTCTATACCAGTGGACAAAATCCTATTAATTATTGAATGATCATTGTTTTTATGGCTGAGTTGATTTTCAAAAGCAAGATTTTTTTTTTTTTAATCTTAAGAGAGTAATGAACAGTTGCCATTATGGTTTTCACTGTACTTTCAAACCCTGTATTTTCATTGTCTTTTTTTTTAAAGGGGAAAAAAGTTGGTATTGGAACACAAAAAACAAGAAGTAAGTATATTGACATCCATAAATGTGTTTCATTTGCTTCTAGAAAACAAATCATATATAGACAGTTTCTAAACTCATGTAAATGATTTTATTTATTCAGGAGTTTCTTGGTCATTTTTAGGACATAAACTTGTGACAGTCTGGTGAAGCTTATGTTCCCCTGTACTCCCCAAGAATAATATCTTTATTATTTTTAATCAACAAATGATCGAGAAAACTGATTGTATTAAAATTCATATACCAAAGTAGTTTTTATTATGAAATAGTGATTACTTTTTATTGTACAGTAAAAACAAGTTCTAGCACTGATTTCATTGCTGTTGTATGTCACCATGCCACACACCCCTCCCCAACTCCCCACTAGGGATTGAACCCAGGGCCTTCAGGCTGAGCTACATTCCAGCTCTTTTTTATTTTTTTTAATTTTGAGGCAGAATCTCATGAAGTGTCTTATGTTGCCCAGGCTGGGGTCCAACTTATAATCTTTCTGCCTCAGCGTCCCAGAGTGTTGACCTTACAGGCATGCACCACCACACCTGGCTTGCTGCTGTAATTTTAAAAGTGATGAACATAAACAATGCTTTGAGATAGTTGTGTAACTTACATGTTGTGAAAAATCACTCTTTTCACTGGTGTCAAAGTTACAGGCACTGCAAATACTACTATGATTTGTTGCTTAGATTTATTTTTTGATTTTGGGGGTTTTTTGGTACCGGGGATCAAACTCAGGTCCTTGTGCTTGCGCAGCAGGTGGCAAAACCACTGAGCTAAATCCCCGCCCTGTTGCTTAGATTTATAATCAGAGGAAATGTTAAATATCAGACTAGTGAAAATTAAAGTGTAGGTTTTTTTTTGTTTCAATTTGTATTCCTGATGAATTCTGTCCATAAATTTTTGGGGAGCTCCATTCACTTTAAGAATATGAGAAATATGGGCAGCATTCACAAGTGTTGTCTTTGTGATTCCGCCGTGACATACCAGGGCCAGGGCCAGAAAGTACAAAAGGTGATGGTGCAGCCCATCTGTCTCATCGCCAGATATTTGAAGAATAGATCCCGGGTTCAGGTGTGGCTCTGTGAGCAGGTGAATGTGCGGATGGAGGGCAGTATTGGTTTTGATGAGTACATGAAACTTGTATTAGATGATGCAGAAGAAATTTATTCTAAAAGACAAGGAAACAACTGGGTTGGATCATGCCGAAAGATAATATTCTGCTACAGAGTGTCTCCAGCTAGAAATGATCAGTGAATTAAGACAGCAGTAAAGTGAGGTGATGGCAGTGCCAGTTGTGATAATATGTGAAAGATGCAGCTGTTCAAGTGGTTTGCCCTGGGAGTATTTATAAAACATTTGTTCATAGGGTTTTGATTACCCTTATATTATTATTGGACCGTAATAAATGTTGTAGAATTGTTTTTATTTTTTAAAAAAAGAGAATATGGACAGGAAAAATAAAGTGATATTGGAAAATATTTCACCGGAGGCTTAAAACTTTGAAGTTTGTGTGTTGTTTTAGGCTTTGGGGGGATTTTTTTTTTCCTCCCACAGTGGTTTTATTTAGAAAAAGAACAGTCATCTGATACCTTGTTTTCTATTTTCTGAAGCAGGAAGACTCAAAAAGCCTTTTGTAAAAGTAGAAGATATGAGCCAGTAAGTATCTAAAGCCAATCTGTGTTATTACAGTATTAAATGAGAAAATTCCTAGGTAATTAAGCTGTCTCCATTAATACAATTAATAGTATAAGGTTCCCTTATACTAATATTCGTGAGGCATTGATTTAGTTATGCTCACAGACTGAATTTAGTTTCAGTATAATGTAAATGTATCTTTAAAGTATTTGGTTTAGAGCAATCATGAGACCAACTCATTTTTAATATTTCAAATATTCGTTCTCTGGCTAAGTGCAATACCATGTGATTTAGAACTAGTATGAAGAAGTACTCCAACATTTGTTGTTTTTTTTTAATTACTAGGTAGTGTTTGGAAATATAAAACCTAAACATAATATCCACTGTGGTGGCTTTCCAAATATCTAGTGTGATGGTGAAATTTTGCAGAGTAATCTTAATCAAAACCATAGATTAGTTTGAAATGGAAAAATTAGATTACTTTCAACTTTTCAGTTACTCACTTAAATATATGTGAGTTCTCTTGGGTACTTATTGAGGTGATAAAGGTGTATTGAAAGCTTCGTTTTATAAAATGCATTACTGTTAAGAAAAAATAAAATACAAAGTTAGATCTAGGGAAGATACCAGTAAATGTAGAGATGTCCCATGTTCATGGATTAGAATTGTTGGGATGTTGATCGATACTACCCAAGGCAATCTGCATTAGAATTATACATTTCTACATATCAAAGGACAGTACACTGAAAAGGTAACCCTGGGAACAGGAGAGGAGATTTGCAAGACGTTAATATCTAGAATATATTCTTATGGTATGATTTTATATCCTATATTTATAATATAAAATCATATAAATCAAAAGGAAATATCACCTGTATTCGTCACTGCAACACCATACCCAACACCGGCAGCTCTTAAAGGAGGAGTGGATTATTTGGCCTAGTTTCCAGTGGGTTTAGTCCAAGGTCTGCTGGCTTCAAGGTAGAAATGGCAAAAAGGCCTGGCAGAGGACAGCTGCTTATCCCATGGCAGCCAAAAGCAGAGAAGGGAGGGACCAGGGCCAAGAAAGACTACACCCTTCTAGATCACACCCCCAGAGAATGACCTCTAACCAGGGCCCACATCCTCACAGCAAGCCAGCTGTGAGCTCATCAGAGGACTAACTACTCAGGAGTACAGTGCCTTTATGCTCTAGTCACCTTCCAGGTTCAGACCTTGAGACAGCAAAACAACAAAATAGCCTGATTTAAAAATGGACCAAAGCACTGAGTAGACATTTTTCTTTTTCTTTTTCTTTTTTTTTTTTTTTATGGAAAGTAATACAGCAACTATTTATTTATTTTTTTTGGTACTGGGGATCGAACTCGGGTCCTTGCGCTTGTGCAGCAGGCGGTGAAACCACTGAGCTAAATCCCTGGCTACATTTTTCAAAGATAATATATAAATGGTTAACAAGTAAATGAAAAGAAACTGACCAATGATTAAAGAAATCCATGTCTAAACCACAATGAGTAGACACTGTTCAGGGGAGGAAAAGTCCTTAAAAAAATAAAATTCTGAATGCATTACAATAAAGATGAAACGTCAGAAAATTATTCTGCTAAGTAGAATGACACTACATTATCCCAATTACATGAAGCATGTACAATAGTAGAACTCATAAGAATAGTATGAAGAGTGATAGTTCCCAAGGGGTTGGGGAAAGAGGAACGTACAGACTTAGGACTGTTAAGTGTTTGTGAGCTGATGAAGTGAAAGAGCTTTGGATCCTCTAATGGATGTAGTTTCCGTTTCTGCAATATGAACATTCTGGGGATGGATGGTGGTGATGATTCAACAGTATTGTGAATGCTAAATGCTGAAATTGTACAGCTTAAAATGGTTAAGGTAGTAAATTTTATGAGTATTTTACCACAGTGTAAAAATTGTTTTTAAATGTTAAAATTAAGCCTGCAGATTGTTCTTTGAAGGTACATTGAACCCTACTCAATTTCTATTTAAGATTTCACATCAGTTGTATGATTCTGAAATAACTTTTTTTCTTTTATCATAAAGAAGCTTGTGTGTGTGTTTTTTTATTCTTTTAGATTTTATAGGCCATTTTATCTTCAGCTGACCAATATGCCTTTTATAAACTATTCTGTTCAGAAGCCCTGCAGTCCATTTGATGTAGATAAGCCAGCTAGCATCCAAAAGCAAGCTCAGGTTAAACTAAGGTTAGTTTGAATCTTTACTTTCAGAAGGAATGTTGTTTATATTATCATCTCGTAATATTTTCTTTATAGACCAGCATTTGAAATGGTTCATTCTATGCTGTGGTGGTAGTGGTGTATATGTTTCTAATAAATATTCTGCTGACTTACCTTGGGTAAAAGTTTTTGATGCCCCTAAGCTAGGTTCAAAGTCTGAATCTCTTTTAAGTAGGTTATATTTAGACACTTTAGTTTGGGGAGGGCTTAATGTTTCCAGATAATGAAAATGTTTTTCTTGAGCCATCTCAAGAATATTTGCTACATTCTTAGTTGGCTTTTACATTTCTTAAAGAGAAATGTAGTTAACATTTTTTACTGATAAAAGTGTAAATTATGGCAGCTTCTGTGTATGATGGGTTAGAAAAATAAATTTTTAAAATTATTCTTCACGTTTACCAGTTAATTTTTTTACCATGTATTTCTGTCACCAGAATCCAAACAGATGGCAATAAATGTGGTGGAACCCCAGTTCATCTCCAGTTGAAAGAGAAGAAAAAAAAAGGATACTGTGAATGTTGTTTACAGAAATACGAAGATCTTGAAACTGTAAATGTGATTTTATATTTTGGGATTAATGGTTTTAAAACTGTGAATATATTTAATATTTAAATTTTAGCTTCATCTGATTGTGGTTTATAACTTGACAATTATATCTTTTTTATATTTTGGTTTTGGACTTGTTTTGTTTTGTTTTGTAGTCCTGGGAATTTAATCCAGAACCTTACACATGTCAGGTAAATGCTCTTGCACTGAGCTACATCTTCAGTCCAAAACATTTTAAATTTTAAGAACACAAAGGAAAATAAACACTGAAAAATAATTTTAATCATTCAGTATTGACTGAGCACCTACTATGTACCGGTCATTGTGCTAGGCTAATAGTGTTTAACAAAACAAACCAGTTCCTTACCTTTATGAAAATTTCATTCTGTGGAAAAAGGGAGAAAGATAGGTAACCACGAGATAAAAAATTGAGTATAAATAGAGAATATTAGAACAGTGCTATGAAGAAACATAAAACAAGAATGGAGATGTTGCTGTTTATTTAGAAAAGGGATTCCTGATAGATGACGTTTGAGTAGAAAACTGAGATAACAATACTTGCTGGCATTGAAATAAGAGGAAGAGTCCTAAACTGATAGATGAGCTCAAAGAACACTTAATGGTGGCCTGGGCTGAGCAGTGATTGAGGAAATGCTTAAGATGTGGTCAGACTGTGGATGTATTTTAAAGATGGGGCTAGAGGATTTGCCAGTGGATCAGTCAGCTGTGGAAGTGAATGATGAGGCAGGGGTGGCTATGATTTGGGCATTAGGAATTTTTAAATTACTCATTATTTACTAAAAGGAAGAAAATGAGGAAGAAATTCAAAATAGTAGAAAGAGAAATAAAGTAGATGGAAGGGCATATGGGGTAAAGATTGGATTTTAAAGATAGGAACCATTACAGTTTTAAGCCAGTGAAAAGAGCAGGAGATTTGGATCCAGGTTTGGCAGGTTCGAATCCTAGCTTCTTGTCAGGTGTGATCTTGGGCAGAGTCTAGCATGAAGTCAGTGCTTATTAATATTAGCTGTTACTCTCTGAATTGTTAACTTTCAGAATAGGAGAAGGTAAGCAAGGTGGTGCACATCTGTAATCTCAGCACATGGGAAGCTGAGGCAGGAAGAATCGGTGAGTTCAAGGCCAGCCTGGGCTACATACTGAGGAGGCCAGTTTGAACTACAAAGTGAGACCACGTCTCAAAATGAGAGAGAGACACAATGAATAAAATAGTAGATAAAAAGCTAGGCTTGGTGGCACACATCTGTAGTTTCAGCTACTTAAGAGGCTGAGGCAGAAGGATTGCTTGAATGTGTGAGTTTGAGACTAGCATGAGCAAGGCCCCCATCTCAAAAAAATTTTTTTTCAAGCAGAGTTGTTTTGATGTTTGATTTTGGTAGATGGTAGGAAAGTTTAAAAAAGAATAAAACTTTAATAAAATATCTAATTCATAAAGTATATTAACTCTTACAAAGACTTAAGAGTCTTTAGACTCCTTCTATGACCTAAAATCCATTAGTACTTCTTATGCGGTTTTCTTGTGTATTTTATATAATAAAAGAAAGTATGGTTGCTTTAGAATTGAACTTACTCAAAAGTTGAAGTAGGGCCAGCTCAGTGGTTCTGCTGGCTGCCTCACAAGCACAAGGTCCCGACCGAGTTCAATCCCCAGTACCAAAAAAAAAAGTTGAAGTATCTCAGAAGTAATCTAGAATGGATGATTTCCGTAATACTAGTTTCTGATCCTGATTTAATGCTCAGAAAATGTTGGGGCTAAAAAAAAAAAAAACAAATGAAAAGCAGTCCCTAGTTACTACAAAGAAAGAAATTTAGTAGAAGTGAATATTGGGAATGAAATTTAAAATCATGTCTTTTTTTTGCGGGGGGACTGGGGATCGAACTTGGGACCTTGCACTTGTGAGGCAGGCGCCAGAACCACTGAGCTAAACCCCTGGCCCCCACGATCATGTCTTTAACAGGTTTTCGCTCATATTTCTTAGTCAATAAGAATAAAGAAAAAAAAAATTTTTAATCTTAGGTTTCAGAATTATTCAGTTCTACCTTGCCAAGGGATTCATTTAACAAATATTTTCAAATATTGGAGATAAACAAAACAGACATTCCCCCGCCATTATTCATCTTATGGTCTGGGAGAGAAGATAGATACAACATGTATTTGCAAGTGTTGTGGGTATCGTAAAGTATAAAGGTATAAAGTACAAGAGTAATAAATAGATAAACAGTTGAGAGTATAACTCAGTGATAGAATGTGTGCACACATTTGTGAGGCCCTGGGTTCAATCCCTACAACCTAAAAATAAATACTAAATAGTTTTTTTGACTTAAAATGAGTGTCAGAGAAGACCCAACTGAGAAACTGACATTTAAATCAAGACCTAAAGGATGAATAAGAACAACTAAATAAAAATAGAATGACCGGGTGTAGTGGCGCATACCTGTCATCCAGGCACTCCATCCAAGCACTCGGGAGCCTGAGGCAAGAGGATTGTTGCAAGTTCAAGGTCAGCCTGGACTACATAATGAGACCCTATTTAAAAATAAAAAACTAGAGAGAAATTATGCAAAAATTGGAGTTTCTATTAATAAATGATTTTCCTTCCTAGAATATGAGCTGAATCTGAACTTACAGATTTGGTAGTCCTTTTTAAATTTTAATCATTTCTCAGTTTTTTACATTATTAGTCTGTATAATTTGTATATGGAAATTTTACAAATAAGGGACACACTGTATATATCAGGTTGCATTACTTTTATGACCAGTGGAGAATTTTGTTTTTGGAGGTGAAATCAAACTGTCGAAGTTATAAATTTCATGAAGCTAAGGGAACAGAAATAAGGTTGTATTATCACCTTGGTATAAGCTTCTGATCAGCTGACAGAAATGGTAGAATTAACCTGAAAATCCCAGTCATTCAAAAAGACTTTTGTTTTATGAGTTTAACACTAATACACTATGAACTTGCTTACTTTTGGTTTTGGTCACTTAACATTGAGAACAACTTCTTGGTTCTTATTATGAGTGCTGGGTGATTGAGATAGTTTACTCACTTTCGAATGTTTTTCTTCACTTACAAGTCTTATTTTTAAAAAATATTCACAGCACTTAATGTGTTTTTTTTTTAACCTTCCTTGTAGAT